CCCTCCTTATGCTTAAAGGCCCGATTCAAACCCCAGCTCCTCTATGAAGCCTTCCTGAATTCCTCGAAGCAGAGTGCTGCTCCCTCCAAGTGTTTCTGAAGCAGCTTGTACACATCTTCACACTATACCCCTTCTACCCATTGTAGAGTTTGGCCTATGCGAGAGACTTAAGATGGGCATAGGAGGCCTTACTGAGCCCGTTTCAAGAGAGGCCCGTTTGGGGACGTGCTTGTGGTGATGAAGGTGAACACATGGCTTCCAGCATTGCTCAGAAAACCACGGACAGAGCTTTGGTCTAGGTCTAAGGGTGACTGAGGAGACTGGAACAGGGCAGGGGCTGCTATTATAGGCAGAAAATTGTGTCCCCTTCAGAGATCCCCTTTGAGAATGAAAGGGAAATCAGCTTGGACCTCTTCTAACTCCAGGTGCTACGGATTGTCTGGATCCTCCTGCTACCATGTACTTCCACCCCCTTGGACCCATGGGGGGTCAAGCCTAAATTTGTCGTGTCCCTTAAACATGAGGAATTAAAGTAGGGGCCAGCCTGGCTCAGGCTCCCACCTCCCCTGACTCTGATCTGGCCCTGACTCAGCTTCTGTTGCATAGGAAGAAGTGTCAGGATGCTTCCAAGATGATCTCACTTTTGCCTGTTGGCACATGTTTCATTCGGGAATAGGATAGCAAAGAGGCTCTGGGGTTGAGGGCAGGGGTCCCCCTGCTAAGACTTGAATGAGACAGTAAGGATTCTCAGATCTGAGAGGCCTAAATTCCAGTGCTTGATTCACTCGTGCAAACTCACTCTTCAGAGAGCCTACTCTACACCAGGGATTGAAGCTAGCATCCTTGTCGTACAAGAACTCTTAACTCAGTGTGGGAGGTGCCTTCACGGGCCTGCCCAGCCCCTGTCTGTATGATAGGGATTAGCACCCTTGTTCTGTTTGCAGTACAGGGTTGTGAGGACCTGCTCTGTAGACCCCTGGGTCAAAGTTAGGGATGTGACATATGCCAGGTGCAGTGTCTAGCACACTGTGGATGCTCAACAAATATCCATTGGGAGCATGAGAGTAAATGAATGGTTTCTGCTCTCAGCCTTATTGGGGAAGGGCATGACCATTTACAGAACACCCGCTGTGCTTCACTGATGTCACAGCAGGGCGCACACAACTACAGCTAGGCCTTCCACCACACTGTCTCCCTCTGGGTCTTTGTGTGCCTCTGATGTCTTTTTCTTGCTCTCATGATCTCTCTTCTCTTTGCCCACTTCACTCTCACTCCGATGCAGGTGTCCACCTCTCCCTCTCTCTCTCTCGTATTTAAAAGTGAAACAGCAGGGCCAGGCGTGGTGACTCACGCCTGTAATCCCAGCTACTAGGGAGGCTGAGGCAGGAGAATCACTTGAACCTGGGAGGAGGAGGTTGCAGTGAGCCAAGATTGCACCACTGCACTCCAGCCTGGGCAACGGAGTGAGATTCCATCTCAAAAAATAAAAAGTAAAAAGAATAAATAAATAAATAAAAGTGAAACAGCTTTGGGGTTGACTGCAGTTGGATGTAACCTGGAAGTTCTATGACTATCCACCCCTTTGAGGGCTAGGATCCAGGTCAGTTCGTTCACCACAGTGTGCCTGACACCTAGCATTAGAGGTCATATTTAGTAGGAGCCCCAAAAATTGTTGCATAAACACATTGGTTTATATATGTGGGTGAGGAATATATGCTTGGGAATGCTGAGGGGACCAGGACAGAACCAAAGAACACTGAGCAAGAAGCTACAGTTTTGCTCTAGCTTTGGTCTAAGCTTTAAAAGATGGGTTGAAAAAATTCCTTGAGGCTTTTAGAATGTCCAGCCAAACTCCCTGTGTGAGAAATCCAATGGAGATTGTGAGTAGAAACTTCTCTTGGGAAGGAAGAGGTTGTGTCTAGAAGCACCATCTCTGGGTTTTATCTCTTAGAAACATGAGGACCTGGGAGCAGGGGGCTCTACAGAAGCCTGATGTTTTGGGAGCACGTGATGCAACATTCCTGACATCAAGCAAGAGTCACCTCATTAAGATCTTAACTGCAATAGAGGTCCCTCCTCCTGTTCTGCTCTGACTGGTCGCATCAACCTGCACAAGTCCCCACTCTTTAGGCCCTATCCCATCTGTTAAATGAAGTGTTCAGGTTAGATGATCCCTAAGGGCTCTGCTGCTCTTGGATTTGTGAAATTAGGTAAGGGATGATCTGGAAATTTAAATAGGATTCCATGTCAGGGGGCTTTACCCTCACAGGACAATGGGAAACTAGGCTCTGGTTGATTTCATTGCCTGTAGCACTGAATATGTCTGAGTTGCAGGCTGACTCATATAGGCCCTTCTAGAAGAGCTACTGGCCCAGAGAAGATGCTGCCTTTACTCTGAGGGTGGTCACCAGTACATGTGAAGAAATCCAGGTCTCTGCAGTACAAGTGTATAATGGGAGAAAAAACAAATATTTCACAACTATAAGAAAAATAGTAGTTGGTTGCCTATTCATGTTTATATTTCTCCCTTCAAGTGGTCTTCCCACCTCACAACACACATACATGCATATGACCACAACTAATGCGATCAGGCAGTGTATACCTCCTAAACCACACACGTCCACATGTGCTCTTGTGGACATGCAACATACTTACATGTGTTACCTGGACACATGCCTTTGACATATATAGAGATTCTACATGTTCCACACACATGCATATCCTGCATATTCAGACATTCCATTTTTGCCCTCATCTACTAGCATGTCCCAATTCCTGGAATGTGGCAAAAGAGAATTAAGGATGCAGATGGAATAAAGGTTGCTAATCAGCTGACTTTATCTGAGTGGGCCTATGTAATCACAAGAGTCCTTAAAAGGTGGAGGAAGGAGGCGAAAGAATCAGCATCCAAAAGAATCGATGTCCAAATGTGATGCGAGAAAGACCAGCCTTGGCTGACTTTGAAGACGAAGGAAGGGGCCATCAACCAAGGAATACAGGCAGACTCTAGTTGAAAAGGCAGGAAAATGGATTCTTCCCTAGAGCCTCCAGAAAGCGGTAAAGCTTCCCACTGCCTTGATTTTAGCCCAGTGAAACCTGTGTCCAGCTTCTTACCTCTGAAACTGTAAGATTATTAATTTATGTTGTTTTAGACTGTGAAGTTGTGGTAATTTGTTATAGCAGTGATAGGAAATGAACACCCACAGAATCAGACACAGTCCCACCCTCATGAGTCTATGGTCTGAGAGAGGAGACAGGCACAAAACCAGGTGCTAGTCGACAGAGTAAGAGAGGCTGTGAAAACACAAAGGAGGAATACCCAACCTACACTTGGGCATGGAGGGAAGATTTTCTCTTGGAAACTCCATGAAGGCAGGGACCAGTATTGACCCAGGTCAGCCACACTGGCCACTGTACCTGCACATACCCGATGCCGATAAGTATTTGCTAGGGGAAGGAAGGAGGGAGAGAGAGAGGAAGAAAGGCAAGGCCAAAACTAGGACCCAATAGATAAATAGGATTTGAGACGGTTGTATACAAGCTGGGGTGAAATGTCCCAGGCAGAAGACCCAGGGCTATTTAGAGAACTAAGTAGAGTTTCCTTTGGCTGGGACACAGTGCCCCATGGGGAACAGGGAAAGATGAGTCGACAGAGCACAGATCAGGAGGGGCCTTATCAGCTATAATTAGACATTTGGCCCGTATCCTATGTGCAGTTGGTACATGCTCACTCTCGCTCGCTCTCGCTTGTTCTGTCTGGTTCCGTCTCCCCACCCCCACTCCCTTGGGTGATATTTTAACATCTTTTAAATGAAGTGTGTTTGTTTCATCTCATTTATGCCAAACAATGCTTATGGAACTATTTCCTCTTGTTCCCCAGGCCATACTCATGTCCTTCCCCTTCAGCAATGATTGAGGACCTACCTCCTCGGTTATCATTTTGGGTAAGATGGGCCTGTCCAGTGGACAACAAGCCCTGGATCTGTAACCACAGCCACCTGGGTTTGAGTTCATACTCCTTCATTTCCCAGCTAATGTTTAACCTCTTCTATCCCTGGTTTCCCAGTCTGGAAAATGGATCCAGGACAGTGTCCACCTTAAGGGCTTGTTGTGAGAATCAAAAGAGCTAGTTCATAAAAGTGCTTCGAAAGGGCCAGATGTATCCTGAGTAGTCAATGGCAGTTGTCTACCACAATCGTCACTCTTTGTATAGTTATTATCTACCAGCCATAACTATTGTTACATGTTACATGAGTTTCCATGGCTCTCCAGATCTCCCCACCCTTCTGTACCCACCTCTGCCCCCTAGGAGGTTGATCTGCATGGGCTCCATCAATGATCTCCCTTGCCTTCTAACTTCCAATTGGGCCCAGACTTTGCGAGTTACCAGCAAGAGATGCAGGGAGTGGCAGGAGAGTGAGGATGGGGGATTTATTCTCCCTGCTCCCTCCTTTCAGGATTTTGCTAGGGCTTGGCTGCTTTCTTCTCATGAAGGCAGCCTCTTCTTGGGCAGCCCTGTCCCTACAACTCCCCTCTTTGTTCCAGGAACTGCTCCCTCTTCTTGCTTTTTAAGAGATAGGGAAGATAATGACTCCCTGCTGTTATAAGCCCCAGAGTTTCCTTTGCATCTAAGTAAATAGTCTTTTCCTTAATTTCCCTCCAAGTTACACAGTTTGAGTGTACCATCCATTTTTTGCTAGAACACTGACTGAGACAACTTCTTTTTTCAAATATTGGGACTGCTGGCTTCATAGACTGAGGCTTCATCCTGATAAGGAAGCCCTTGTCCCTTGTCCCTCTGGTCAGCTCTAGAACATTCAGCAAGGTGATCACATGGTCACAAGATCACTTCTTTTTCACTCTTCATGAAACTGAAAATTTCAAGGAAATTTGTAAGTTTAATAGACAACCTGATCATACTCCAGACTAGAAAATGAAACCAAAACCAATTGCCCTAGGCAGAAAGGTAGTTTATAATGGGTTTCCTGCAGCCAAAGAGTCATGAGTCACAGCAGCTGCCTCAAGAGTGGGAGGGGAAGTAAACTACTGGATCTAAGGATCACTCTAGTCACCCTACAGTGACTCCTCTTTTTCCCTCCTGCCATGGTCCAGGGTAGCCAGATACTTCTCCAGGCTGTCACTTACGTGGGCTTCCCTGCTGGCTACATCACTGAAATAGAATCTCCTAGTGGCCCTTCTCCCTCTACAGCTCTGGTGTTACATTGAAAAACTAGAAGGTCAATCACTTTTATATTTACCCCCATTAAGGTTGCAGGAGCCTAGCATGTCCCCACGGCCCTCCTTCTCCATTCTCCTCTTCCCCTTGTCTTGTGCGTGGTTTCTTTCTTGTCCGAATTGGGTCTTCCTTTTCTAGACTGTGAACTTGCTGAGGTCAGGGAATGAGCCTTCGTATCCTTGGTACCCAGTTCAGAGCCTGCCTTTAGGGAGTGTTTACTCTAGCACTGTGGTTAGGCAGAGATGTGAGTTTGAGTCTTGGTTTCCTTAGTCTTTTATCAATCACTTCTCAAATTATGCCATTTGTATCTTTTTTCTCTCTCTCTCTTTAGAGACAGGGTCTCACTCTGTCACCCAGGCTGGAATGCAGTGGTGCAATCATAGCTCACTGCAGGCCTGAACTCCTGGGCTCAAGCCATCCTCCTGCCTCAGCCTCCCAAATAGCTAAGACTACAGGTGCACATCACTGCATCTGGATAATTTTTTAAAAATTTCTGTAGAAACAGGGTTTCACTATGTTGCCCAGTCTGGTCTCAAACTCCTGACCTCGAGTTATCCTCCTATCTCAGCCTTCCAAAGTACTGGGATTGTAGGCAGGAGCCACTACATTCAGCTACTGCTTGTGTCTTCTGATTCTTGTTTTGATACCACTGACCTTAGGTAGGGTATTTTATCTTCCTGAATTTTATTTTTCTATGTGTAAATTGGAGATTAAATTATCCTTCTAATAGGGTTGTTGTGGGGATTAAGTGAAATAGTGTACACAAAGTTCTTAGCATACTTTGAAGCTATTATTTTTATTATTATGCTAGTAAATAAAACTTTCTGGAATTAGAGACTCACATGCCTGTTTGTCTACAGTTTCAAAATAGACAAGGGAACAAGAGAAACATCAGAAAGTCCGATCAAAGTAGAAGCATCATGTGTCTATCAACGTATCCACTGTGCTTGGTAAGTGGCAGTCTCTTGTCCTGTAAGAGACTTGGGCTTTGAAAAGGGCTTTGGATCTCAGATCTGTTGACATGAGGCTTGTCATGAGCCTCAGCTTCCTCATCTCCAAAACTGCTATAGGCCAGGCATGGTGGCTCATGCCTGTAATCCCAGCACTTTGGGAGGTCGAAGCAGTTGGATTGCTTGAGCTCAGGAGTTTGAGATTAGCCTGGGCAACATGGTAAAACCCCATCCTACCAAAACTACAAAAAAATTAGCCGGGAACGCCTGTGGACACAGCTAACTGGGAGGCAGAGGTGAGAGGATTGCTTAAGCTCGGGAGATGGAGGCTGCAGTGAGACAAGGTCATGCTACTACACTCCAGCATGGGTAACAGAGTGATACCCAATCTCAAAAAAACAAAACAAAAAAAATTGGTACAGTAACAGCCTCTGCTTGAGGTTACTCTTTCATTGGATGATAAATGAGCACCTACTGTGTGTCAGACATTACTCTAAGCTATAGATACAGCCTCAAAAAAGATAAGCTAACCCTGCCACCATGGGGCTTATATTTTAGTTGGGAAAGGGGCTGGAGAAGACAGACAATAAACAAATCAATAAATTCATTAAAAAGCTAACTTCAGCATTGATAGGTGTTATGGGGAGAATGAAAGAGGACCCTGGGATACAGAATAACTTTGTGGGGGAACCAGGTTGGGATCCCTGGGTCAGGTGGTCAGAGTGGGACTCTCAGAGAAGATGACTTTTGAATTTAAATAAGAATGAAAAGAAAAAGCCAACCATAGGCAGATTTGGGGACAGCCAGTGCAAAGGTCAAAGGTGAATAAGGTCATAGGGTAACCAGGGTTAAAATAAGATGGTGCGGCCTAACTGGCCAGAACAATGCCTGACAAAGGTGCTGCTTTCCTCAACATCTTCAAATCCTTAAGGATCTACTGTGTGCTAACGTAAGATGCCAAAATCAGTAAATCATGCTACTATCTCTAAGAAACTCATGGTCTAATATAGGAGAAAAAAATCCACCGTCAAAATAAATGAATCAAGACTGGGAAGATGAATATAACTGATAGCACCTGGGAGATGACTTAGACATGGATATGGATATGGATATGGATATGGATATGGATATGGATATGGATAGATATGGATGCAGATACACATGTGGATAAAGGTGGGGATGTGTGTTGGGAAAGGCAGTCTCTTGCATGCCATCTTTCCACCCCTGCTTGGCCACCTAAGAATACACCTTGGGCCTGGAAGACTTCCTTACCATGAAATAAAGAATCCTCAGTCTGTGCTGGACTTACCACCTTTTGTGGGAATATCTTTTTCTGTTTGTACTCTTTTGCTTTGCTTAAGGGCATGCATCACGTGGCACTTAGAAACTTCACTACTCTATCTGTTTTTTGCAGGCAGGGCATGGGCCCTTCTGCTGCAGCATAAGAGGGGTCACCCAATGACCCGTGTCAGCTGTTGGGATGGACCTGCTGACCATGGGATAATGACACCCACTACTAAAGCAGATCTTGCTGTGTCTCTTCTCTATGTGAGTAAAGTCCTGTTCCATCTAGTGCTTGACTGTGTTGTGTTTTCCATGGCAATTTCAATACCAACATGCAGTGGGCACAAGTTCTTAGACTTCTACTCTGGTTAATTGGAAATAGATGCCACTTGCTTGCCAGTTGGATGTGGATAGATGTAGATATCAATGAAAAGAACAAATGAATAAGTGATTGAATGAGTGAATACATATAAGGAGGGAGAAGGTCCTGGGTCAGGGTGGATGAGAAGGGGGCTGAAGGAGGCAGAGGTGGGCAGAGGTGGTGATGTAGAAGAGGTGTTTACCACTGGGAAAATTCCAGTTGGGCTGGAGCAGAGGATCCTTGTATGGAAATCATGTCTGGAAACTAGTAGAAGACAAGGAGGATTTTGGATTTGCTCTGTGGCCTATCATGCTATTTATACTTATATGATTTAGAGACATTTCTATAACATACCAGACCTGACAAAGCTGCTACAACACACAACACACTAGAGTTCGTATGAGTACATATTGTTTCTCCAGTTTTCCCTGGTAAAGGTGCAAGTGCAGAAAATGGTTTTCCACCCTTTCTCCATGGCCACTTTGAGGTCAGAGATTGTGTCTTAAATTCAACAAGAACAGAACTGAGATAGTAGAATCTTGTTTTGTTTTGTTTTTGTAAAAAACATAAAAAGGCTCATTTTAGGCTTTAATAAAGGAAGGGGCCTGGAGGCATCACTGGTGATGGTAAAAAAAAAAAAAAAAAAAAAAAAAAAGCCATAATTTTATGTATTTATAAGATTTTAAAATGTTAAAATATGGAATGTAAATCAGGATGTTCAGAAAAAATTATAAGAACCCTCATGATGTTTATCAATGAATGATCCATTTGATTCTGTGCAGCCTTATGACCAAAACCAATCACAGGGTTAGTCAGATCACTGATCTCCTCTACACATATGATCTTCTTGTGGGACTCTGTTTGGCAAAGGAAGCTTTGGGGAAAGCTCATATAAACCACTGAGTATAGTCGAATGATTTAGACCTGAACACTTTTTAAAGTAGGAGTTGTCTGTCCACTAGTAAATATTTTAGTAAAGTGCCATGGAACATGCAGTTTTTTTTTTTTTTTTTTTTTTTTGGAGATGGAGTCTCACTCTGTCGCCCAGGCTGGAGTGCAGTGGTGTGATCTTGGCTAAAGCAGTTGAATTAAGTTAGTTGTTACCCTTAT